CAGAGCGGAGCCGTAGCGCTGAACCAGAGGAAGCCAGTCAGGAGCAGGACCGCCAACCTCGTAGGTCAACCGGACCGTGTCAGTGAGCTGAGCAAAGCACTGACCAGGGGGGTGAAAGCGGCCACAAGGGTGGCCCCGACGAGGACCTGTCTGAACCTGGTAGGGGCAGGGAGGGTAAGCAGCACCGCGCTGGGGCTGACGCAGCCCCGACCCCGGAGCCAGCTGCTGACGCTGCTGCTGCTGAGGCTGGCGGGAGGAAAGGGGCTGCTGCTGCTGCTGAAGGTGCTGCTCACGCTGAGCCTGGTACCACGCCGCTGCTCCACCTAGCGGGGCCGGCAGTACAGGAGGCGACTGACGAGCTCGAGGGTTGCCGCCACCAGCAGGTGCAGTGGAGTCACCAGCCGCTGCACGAGGGGTCTCTCCAGACGCTGCACTCCCACCACCGCCAGTCGCAACAGCACCCCCACTACCTCCGCTACCTCCGCCTCCACCTCCACCGGAACCACCTTTCTTGCCCCCCCTGCCGCGGGACCGCGACGCAGTCGTAACAGCAGCCGCAGTCGCGTCAGTAGCGGCAGTGGCAAGAGAGGCGGTGAAGGTGGGTAACTGCGGGACTGTGCACCCGTGGAAGAGTGGGGGGGACACAGTACCAGAGGCGGCAGCTACCGAACGAAGGTTGCTCTCGACGTCCTTGAGTGCAGACTCAAGGACCTCGATAGTCAGCTCACTAGGGTGCTTCAGCAGAAGCGCGTCACGAACGGAGGCAAGGCGATCAGGGAGGCTAGTGGCGATGAAATAGACAGTAATCGCCATGGGGGGAGGAAGCACTGCAAGCTGTGCCTCAGTGCAAGCAGCGCGGTAACTAGCGTCGAGCGAGCGGAGGTGAGCGATCAAGTCAGCAGAGCGCTCAAATGAGGCAAGATCAGGAAACAGGAACGGGAGGAAAAGACGGCCGAGAGAGACAGTAGCGGGAGTAGAGTAGCGGGCCTTAATCGCAGTGAGGTACGCAGCAGCGGTGCGAACCTGAGTAAAGTGGACCTCCTCGGACTCAAGGAGGAGGCTGCTGAGTGCGATGCAGGCCGCAGCGTCACGCGACGTCCAAGCCGTCCGGTCAGCGCGCTGACGGGCAAAGCGAGCCGTAGCAGCGTCGTCAGGAGCAGGGCCTAAAGCTGTAGGCTCGGGGGGCTCGGGGAGGTCACCAGTAGCGTGTGACCAGAGGGTCTCGCCCCCCTGGACCTGACTCTCTAACAGACGACGAGCGCGAAGAAGCCAGACGGAAAAGTCAAGGGGTCTACCGTCGGCGTCGAAACGAAGAACTCGCGGAGTCGCCATAGTGAGAACGAACGCGAACGAACAGGCGAGTAACAACCGGGGGGGGAAGAGGACTCAGTCGCAGCGGAAGAGCGGGCTAGGACGACGGGCCAAGACGTAGGGTAGGGCAACGGGCCAGGGCCTAGGGTAGGGCGACAGGCCAGGGCCTAGGGAGGGCGACGCGACGGGGGAAAGGGCGGGAGCGACGCGACGGGGCAGGGCGACGCGACGGGACAGGGCGACGCGACGGGGCAGGGCGGCGCAACGGAGCAGGGCGACGGGACAGGGCAGGGCGACGCGACGGGGTAGGGCGACGCAACGGGACAGGGCAGGGCGACGCGACGGGACAGGGCAGGGCGACGCGACGGGACAGGGCGATGCGACGGGACAGGGCGACGGGACAGGGCGACGCGACGGGACAGGGCGACGGGACGGGGGGGGTAACAGGCGGGCGCGACGCGACGGGGGGAACGGGCGCGACGCGACAGGGGGAACGGGCGCGACGCGACGGGGGGAACGGGCGCGACGCGACGGGGGGAACGGGCGCGACGCGACGGGGGGAACGGGCGCGACGCGACGGGGGGGGGAACAGGCGTGACGCGACGGGGGAGATGGCGCTAGGCTCGGTACTAGGCGCGGTAACTACGAAACTGGTACGAACGAGAGGTAGGATCAGGCTCGGGAGGTACGAACGGAGAACGGAGGAACGGGATCCCACAGGATCCTAACCTAGCTGATACCATGTCAAAATGAGGAATGTGTGTTGCATTGATGTTGGTTGGGGTACATATGTCAAACCCTAACTTCTGTACCCCCTAAGACAAACCTCACTACAGGCTACAACATTTGACACCAACGTACTATAAACCTCTGCCTCCATGCTCTCTCGTAAGCACGTGCAGCCATGACTGCGCCTAGCACCTAAGCTGGTCGACGTCTTTCAAAATAGGGGATCGCATTAAAATTTTGAACCTCATGCAGTAGCATTCGGACGAGATGACGTGACAGCTGCACGAAAGCGCAATGAAAATCGCAGCGCTGCCGGCAATGCGCGAATATCTCTAGCGCACGGCAAACCAGATTCTGACACAAACACAAGCAACACCAACGCAGCCCCCAAATGAGAGCGTGGGACAACGCTCGACCGCTGCTAGTGATGGTGAAAAATGCGAAGAAGCACGCAACAACCACAGAATGACACACCTCGAAGCGATGGCAGCGGCAGGATACCTACGTCGTATCAACATCATGATGCAAAACGATAAGCCAACACCCCTCTCACCGATGCCACTCAAGTTGTAGCATCCGCCGTGCTTTGTGTCAGTAGAGCTACACTGTGAGATCCCCGATCGATCCTAGGGGGGGTTACAGGCGCGTTCGCCTGGGGGGTTATGGGCGCACACTGACCCGCAACTTAACAAGCCCTTTTATCCCAATGGTCTAGTGGTTGGGATTCTGACATGGTATCAGAGCGGTCTCGGGTTCGAATCCCGGTGTATGCACATGTTGGCCGTTGCCACTGTGCTCAGTCCTGGGCCTCCCAGTGTGGGGGGGTGTCAGTAGAGCTACACTGTGAGATCCCCGATCGATCCTAGGGGGGTTACAGGCGCGTTTGCCTGGGGGGTTATGGGCGCACTGACCCGCTACTGAAACAAGCCCTTTTATCCCAATGGTCTAGTGGTTGGGATTCTGACACTTTGACCCGATTTAACGGGGTGGTCTAACAGTTCAATAAAGGATCTTCATGATGAGTGTATTTTTCGACGCAAACTACCTTCAGATGCGGCAATAATTCGTTACGTCGTGTCGTTACTGCAAGGAGCCGCCATGGACTGGTAGCGCTCTATCGTTACGAAGCCAAGGGATTGCGGGTCACTGCCGCATGGGGAGGGACCTTATGGACCCCAAGTCTTTTGGGCACCATCGTATTACAAAGTCGCCGAGTATCGCACATGGGATGCGTGGTGCGCGGGTCTGAGTGGGAGATTCGAACCCAAGCGGGTCTGAGTGCACGCCAAAGGATGCGTGCTTATCGCCAACTCGTATCCGCCCAGGATTATAGCGGTGGGTTCTTGACGCTATGCAAGCATGTCTGATACATGCATAAGGCAGAGAGTGTAAATTGATACGTCGGAGGGCTAAAATTTGAAATTGCGCAAGAAATCCTGGTCCGCGACGTAACAGACTTCAACCACATTCTCACCATGGTGGAAAAGGTAGATTTTATCCGCCGACCGATAACAGGGTCCTATAATAACTAGGGACGCTGGGCTCGTGGGAAAAAGGAGAATGTCACGATACGTACTATCGCGACGATTGCCATCGCCGCACAATTCGAAGGGTGCTTTCTTCCGTGCAATCGGCCAAAGCATTGCAAAAGCGAACGCCTGAAGACTAAGGGATGTGAAGATAAGAACGATAGAATGAAGAAGAGAGGGTTTCACTAGCAGCAATGAGGATACATATAGCAAACCCTTGATGGGTTGTACACGCTATAGAGCACCTCACTACAGGCTAGAGAATAACATTCTGACACACCCCCATAGCCCAAGTGGGGTGTAATCAGCACAATGAGCAAGCAGGCATAGAGCAAGAGTTCACAATAGCGAGCAAAGCTAGAGTCATTCACAAAGGGCAAGTGAGGAGGAGGAGGCGAGACTGTAAGAGGAGAGGAGATAGGAGGCGACGGCTGAAGCTGCAGACATACGGGCAACAGGAGTCACACTGGCACAGCGGCTACGGGGCCGCTGGAGGCGGCGACGGGGCCGCTGGCGGCGACGACGGGGCCGCTGGCGGCGGCGACGGGGCCGATAGGAGCCGCGACGGGGCCGCTAGGGTCGGCGACGGGGCCGCTGGCGGCGGCGACGGGGCCGATAGGGGCGGCGACGGGGTCGCAAAGGGGCCGCGAGGGGCCTGGAAGGGCAGTGACGGGCCGCGAAAGGGGCGGCGACGGGGCCGCGAAGGGGCTGCGAGGGGCCTGGAAGGGCGGCAACGGGGCCGCGAAGGGGCCGCGAGGGGCCTGGAAGGGCGGCAACGGGGCCGCTAGGAGTAGGGCGAGGGGCACGCCACGGGGCGTGTCGAACACAGAGTAGCAGCGGAAGCAGTTAGGTGGGCCCGCAGGCCAAGACCGTAGATGCTCTGATACCATGTGAAGATAAGAACGAGAGAATGAAGAAGAGAGGGTTTCACAAGCAGCAATGAGGATACATATAGCAAACCCTAGATGGGTTGTACTCGCTATAGAGCACCCCACTACAGGCTACAGAATAACATTCAGACAAGGGAAAAGCGGAAGTCGAGTAGTACAAGGAGTCTAAGTAGCAAGGAAACACTTAGGAGTAGCCGAGCCCTCTACTGACAAGACTCGTCTCTCGCCCGACCCAACCGAGTAGTCGAGTTGTCCTATTGTCCCGTCCGGCACACTGTCCGGCCTTTACCTCCCCTCGTTCTCTACGAACTTGGTGGCGGGTTCCGCGCTCCAGGACGCGGGTGTTCACCAGTTCACCCCTGCCTACAAGCGTGTGATACACTGCACGTGTGCCCAGACGGGTCGTCACTTGGGTACCCTAACTCGGCAGCCGGGGTCGGACTTGTACACACTGACCACTGAGTCCCCTCAGGTAGCGGCGTCCGCGTCTGCGTCAGGTCAATTGTCCGCCCCCTGCTCGTGTCGCACCCTGTCGCACCGGATGGTCCTCTCGCACCACCGCTTTGGGCACCCTTCGATGCAGCGCCTTCGTGGCATGCACTCTCGTTTCGTTGCCTCTGGTCTCCCCAAGTCACTGCCTCCCCTGCCACCGTCCCCTGCCCCTCCTTGCCTTCCCTGTGTCGAGGGACGGCAGCGTGCCACCCCTCACTCCTCTGCGTTCCCCTCGACGGAGGCTCCTCTGCAGACCCTTCACATGGACGTGTGGGGCCCAGCCCTCGTCCGTGGTTAGGGCGGAGAGCTCTACTTCCTGCTGGTAGTTGACGACTACACGCGTTACACCACGGTCTTCCCCTTACACACCAAGGGAGAGGTCCCCGTTGTCTTGATCCCTTGGATCCGCACTACCCGTCTCCAGCTGGAGAGGCGCTTTCGCACGGACCTTCCCATCCTGCGACTGCACTCTAACAGAGGTGGTGAGTTTTCCTCCGGCCTCTTGGAGGCCTTCTGTCAGGTTGAGGGCATTGAGCAGACGTTCACGCTTCCGGCCTCTCCTAAGCAGAATGAGGTTGCTGAGCGCCGCATTGGCTTGGTCATGGAGGTTGCTCGTACCTTCTTGGTCCATGCGGCTGCCCCCCATTTTCTGTGGCCGTTTGCGGTCCGGTACGCCGCGCATCAGCTCAACCTCTGGCCCCGCGTCTCTGTTCCGGAGACCTCGCCGACACTGCGTTGGACGGGAGAGGTTGGTGATGCGTCTGTGTTCCGTGTCTGGGGATCTCGTGCCTTTGTCTGCGATACGTACGCGGACAAGCTCTCCTCCCGCGCTGTTCCTTGTGTCTTCCTGGGCTTTGTCCGTGACGCGCCTGGCGGGCAGTTTTACCACCCCACCTCGCGCCATGTCTTCCCCTCTCAGGACGTCACGTTTGACGAGTCGCTCCCCTTTTACTATCTCTTCCCCTACCGCACTGCCCCGCTCCCCCCTCCGCCACTCTTCCTTGCGCCAGGTGCTGCTTCGATAGACCCCCTCCCTCCCCAGGGTCCTGCTTCCTCAGGTGTTTCCCTGGTAGACCCGGTCGAGCCTAACAAGGTAGCTGACGACTCTGGTCTTGCGCAAGGTATAGAGCGTGCTGAGCCTGGTGGTGTTGAGCTTGGGGGTGCGGAGACTGGGGGTGCTGAGTCTGGGGATGCGGAGACTGCGGGTGCTGAGCCTGGGGGTGCTGTGCCTGGGGGTGCTGAGCCTGGAGGTCCTGAGCCTGGGGGTGCTGCGCCTGGGGGTGCTCTCTCTTCCTAGCAGCTGCGTGAGTGGTACTCTCGGTACTATCGCCGCCGCCGTGGTGCTGTGGGCGCTGGAGGTGCTACTGGAGCTGGAGCTGAGGACGCTGGGCCTACTGGAGTTGGTGTAGCTGCTGACCCTGGGGTTGGCGCTGGAGCTGCTGGGACTGGAGGTGCTGTTGGAGCTGCTGGAGGTGCTACTGGTACTGGGGCTGGTGGTGCTGCAGCGGCTGGAGCTAAAGGTGCTGCCGCTCGTCCTCCTGCAGGTGCTGGAGCCGACGGTGCGGCTGGAGCTGGTGCTACTGGGGGTACTCGAAATGGCACTACTTGAGCTGCTGGAGGTGTTGCGGGAGTTGGAGCTTCTGCTGGGGGTCCTGTTGCTATCTCTGCTGGTTCTGGGGGCACTCCACGGCCGCTGCCGTACTTCGTTCCGCTCCTTCAGCAGGTTCTTGGTCAGCCACCTCCTCCTTGTCCTGCTCCCTCCTTAGAGTGTCCTCCGCCTGTCTAGTCGCAGTCACAGTTATAGCCTGCCTCGCCACTTCCTTGTCCTTCTCCCTACTCTGGTCCGACAGGAGGTCTTACGGAGCGTCGTGAGGCTGAGTCTCGTCCTGTGTCGCCTGAGTCTCGTTCTGCGTCACCTATTCGTGCTGCTCGCACTGGTCATCGTGTCCCGCGTCAGCGTCCTCCTGCTGACCCAGGCAGTCACCAGATGACGCTTCGTCTTTCCACTGCTCCACAGCGTGTCCCTCTGCCTTCTCCTCTTGCGTCCTCTCTTCCTGCCCTTGCTAACCCGGAGTCTGACTCTCTTCGTGCTGCTACTCCTACTGTCACGCGTCACTGACCCTTCCTTTGAGTCAGCTACTGCGTCTGCCTTAGTTGCTAGGCTTGTCGACTTTGCTGCTCACTGTCGTCTAGACTACGCTGCCAGTCTTGTTGCTGAGTCTGAGTCTGTCTGTCCTCCGTCCGTCGGGGGTGAGTGTGCTCTTGGCACGGACGTCCTTGAGGATAGGCAAAAGGACTTTCAGTGCTTTGCTACTGCTGTACCTCATCTCGTGTCCATGCTGATTGCACCTGAGGGAGACCCGGATGCACCAGACATCCCGACCCCGCGCTCTTACGCTGAGGCGATCGCGGGTGAGTACTCCTCTCAGTGGCAGTCAGCCATGGACGCAGAGATGGCATCTTGGAAGTCCACTGGCACTTACGTCGACGAGGTTCCCCCTCCTGGGGCGAACATCGTCAGTGGCATGTGGATTTTCAGGGTGAAGAGGCCGCCAGGTTCTCCGCCTGTCTTCAAGGCTCATTACGTTGCTCGAGGCTTCAGTCAGCGAGAGGGAGTAGACTTCTTCCAGACCTTCTCCCCCACCCCGAAGATGACCACTCTTCGGGTGCTACTGCACGTTGCCGCTCAGCGTGACTACGAGCTTCACTCTCTTGACTTCAGCACAGCTTTCTTGCAGGGCAGCCTGCACGAGGAGATCTGGCTACGCCGCCCTCTTGGCTTCACTGGGTCGTTCCCTCCTGGTACCCAGTGGAGCCTCCGGCGGCCAGTCTACGGTCTCTGTCAGGCGCCACGTGAGTGGCATGACACACTGAGGACTACACTTGCGGCTCTTGGGTTTGCGCCTTCTACTGCTGATCCGTCGCTGTTTCTGCGCACCGACACTTCGCTGCCGCCATTCTACATCCTCGTGTACGTCGACGACTTGGTCTTTGCCACTGCTGACACTGAGGCTCTCGCCCTGGTGAAGTCGGAGCTGCAGAAGAGACACACGTGCACAGACCTGGGTGAACTGCGCAGCCACCTTGGCTTGCAGATCACCCGGGATAGAGCACGCCGCACCATCACACAAACTCAGTCACATATGGTGCAGCAGGTCCTTCAGCGCTTTGGCTTCACCTGGTCCTCGGCATAGGCCACTCTTCTGGCTACAGGTAACTCGCTCTCATCTCCACCTTCGGACGAGTCCGTAGAGTTGAGTGGTCCTTAGCCTGAGCTAGTTGGGTGCCTCATGTACCTGATGACTTGCACTCGTCCTGACCTCGCGTACCCTCTTGGCCTTCTGGCTCGCTACGTGGCTCCTGGTCGGCACCGAAAGGTGCACATGGATGCTGCTAAGAGGGTACTGGGCTACTTATGTAGTACATCAGGCATGGGGCTCGTGCTTGGAGGGAGGAGCTCAGTTGTTCTCACTGGGCACTCAGACGCTTCTTGGGTTAACGACCAGGCTACTTAGCGGTCGTCACAGGGTTACACATTCAGCCTTGGCTCTGGTTCAGTTTCTTGGCGTTCTACACGCTCGTCTTCAGTTCTTAGCTCCAGTTGTGAGGCTGAGATCTACGCCACAGCCATGGCTGCACAGGAGTTACGCTGGCTCACCTACCTGCTGACTGACTTGGGAGACCGGCCTCGTTCTCCTCCGGTGTTGTACGTCGACAACAAGGCTACCATTGCCTTGTGTGAGGAGCACAGACTGGAGCACAGAATGAAGCACATCGCTCTGCATTACTTCCTGGCTTGAGAGTTGCAGCAGCGTGGTCAGCTTCGTCTACGTTACGTAGCCACTCGGGCCAACACTGCTGATATATTCACCAAGGCACTTTAGTCTGGTGATCATCAGCGTTTCTGCACTATGGTAGGGCTTGTTCCCACTTTTCCTCACTTGGTGTAGGCGTTGCTTGTTCTGTGATCTATATATATATACCTGCATGCTTGCTTTGCTAGGTAGAGATCACTGTGATGTTTGTGCTGCATATATGCCTCTGCATGTGAACTGGCCTTGTGGCCCTTTGCTTCTGCTTAGTGTGTGTGGTGACGTTGTGATCCACCCTGAGCTTGCTTTCCCTTTCTTGACTGGTCTTGTGACCCCATGCTCTCCTCCACTTTGCCTATGGGGGTGTGTCAAATGTCATGTCTGCTACAGTTTGTTTAGGCTGTAGTGGGGTAGTTACTATAGGGTACAGTAAGTTTAGGGTTTCCTACTTGTACCCAACTCTTTCCTAGTTCAATCACTCTTGTTCATTCTGACACACATGTGCTCGGACGAGCCGACACTTGGCCACGTTTACCCGTCAGCAGGGGTCGAGCCTCTACACACTGACTACAGAGTCTCCTCCGGTTACTGTGTCTGGTCAGGTAGCTGCGTAGGGTCAGGTGTTTTGTGAGAGTACGACGGCTTATCCCAGCTATGCTTGCTTGCATTTAATTTATCATGCTATTTCTAGCCTAGGATAATTATATGCATGCATGAATTGCTTGATTTCCTAGGCTAGGTGCTTTCCTATATTTTATTATAGTTATAGCACCGAGCTAGGTTGCGTGCACCGAATTCTGGCGTTTCGGTTGCCACCGAATTGCCTTCTACCGAATTCGGTAAGGATCTGTTCGGGACGCTTCGCGACCCGCGGAACCTTCGCGACCCGCGGAACCTTCGCGACCCGCGGAACCTTCGCGTAACACCTGGTTACAGGGCCTTGTCTCGAGCCTATATATAACCTCGTGTTGTACCCAGGTGATCATTCAATTCATTCAACTCAAACTCTCTTTTCTGATCTCGATCCTAGATCCTCACACTTGGTAATCAGAGCAGGTTTACACGCGAGGTCTTCAACCGCTTAGTTCCGGCCTTTAAAAACCGCGGGGGCAACGACGAAAGCGCCGATACGTGTATGTAAAACCAGTTCCGCGCAATTTTTCTAAGTCCCCCTCGATACGGTTTTCGAACACCCCTCAGATTTTCTGGTGGAAAGGTTGGAGTTTCGACCGTTCGATCGAGTTTCATCTCAACGGCCCAAAGAATTTCGCCCCAAAAAGTTGGAATTTGGAGCGTCGGATTGATTTTCTCCTCAACGGCCAAGATCGGACGTGAATTTACGCGACTTACAGAATTTGCGCTCGTCGATCCTATAGTCAACTTGACTCGCAGTAAGTCGACCAGCACCTAGAATTCGATTATAATCGTCGCGCATCTTCCTGTAAATCGCCAAATGGAGGGAGAGTCCGGAAGCGTGAAGGTCTGGCGGATGCCTCGTGCCCGACAGTAGGCTCGCAGAAGGCCGGAGGAGAACTCTCCGCCTCTGTCCGAGTGCAGACGCAAAACAGGAAAGTCCGAGCCGAAGCTCCGCCTGAGCTGGAGACGAGCTGCGCGGATCCAGTCGATCAACATATCAGTGACCTCACCCTTGCTGCGCAAGGGGAAGACTGTGGTGTAACGCGAGTAGTCGTCAACCACCAGCAGGAAGTAGCGCTCGTGACCCTGTCCACGGACGTGGGCTGGGCCCCACACGTCCATGTGAAGCGTCTGCATCGGGGCCTCCGTCGGAGGAAACGGGGAGGAGTGAGGGGTAGCCCGCAGGCGACCCTCGACACAGAGGACATAGGGAGGGCCAGGCCCCTGAGGAAGGGGAGGGAGGGACCGGGGAAGGCCAGAGACAAGAAGGCGAGAGGCCATGCCCCGGAGACGAGGAAGGGAGGGGTGACCCATCCTGTGGTGCCACACGAGGGTCTCGTGGGACAGGGGGCGACACGAGCAGGGGGCAGACTCAGGACCAGACCTGGACGCTGCAGCAAACACCTGACCCGACGCAGCTACCTGACCAGACGCAGGAGGAGGAGACGGAACAGTGAGTGTGTACAGGCTCGACCCCGGCCCACGTGTGAACGTGGTCAAGTGTCGACCCGTGTCCGCGTCCGTGCAGTGGGTGTCCCGTCGGCGTGAAGGGGTGAACTGGTCGACCCCTGCATCTTGTAGGTCAGCACCCGCCACCAAGTTCGTAGAGAACGAGGGGAGGTAGAGACCGGACAGGGCGCCAGACGGGACCGCAGGGCACGGCAGGACAGTGGAGTAGCGAGCCAGAACAGGACCCCCAGAGGGGTCCACCAGGGAGACCGCCACTGGCCGACTAAGCGGCGTGAGTGTGGTGCGGTCTCGAAAGAAGGAGCGAGACGCCCCTGAGTCAAGAGTGAAGGTGAGAGAGGGCGGAGCCGACGCAGTACCTGAGAGAGCAGACTCACCAGCACCTGAGGACACAGACTCACTGGCACCTAGAGCGACAGCCTCACCAGCACCTGGAGCAGCAGCCTCAACAGCACCTAGAGCCGCAGTACCAATGCCCGGGTCGGGCGGGAAACACCGGTAACAGTCACCCTCCTCACTAATGGTCACAGCATACATGGTAGCAAGAATAACATCAAAGTCAAGATCAAAGATAGCTACTCCTGCCCTAGACAGCTGGTCCCAGCGAGGGATCTCAGAGGCGTCAGGAAACTGGCGGCGCCAAGCGTCAGTCAGGCGGCCAAAGCAGCGCTGGGCGGGGTGTGGACCACCACAC